GAGAGAGAGAGAGAGAGAGAGAGAGAGAGAGAGAGAGTGTGTGTGTGTGTGTGTGTACACACGCACGCAGGGGATTCCAAAGAAATACAGCCAAGCCCTCTGAGCCAAGGTTACACTCCGTAAAGAGGAAGATGTGAGGGGCATAAGTTAAAAGAAGGGACCAATGCTCAGGGAAGGGATAGCCGTGGTATAGATTTCAGAGTAGCAGCCTGGTTAGTCTGTATTCACCAAAAGAACAGGAGTACTTGTGGCACCTTAGAGACTAACAAATATATTTGAACCTAAGCTTTCTTGGGCTACAGCCCACATCTGAAGAAGTGGGCTGTAGCCCATGAAAGCTTAGGTTCAAATAAATTTGTTAGTCTCTAAGGTGCCAGTGGTATAGCGATATTCCCACTCTACCTGTGGTACTTCTGTGGTCCCATCACCATAGTATCTGAGCGCCTCACATCACAGCCCCGCGGTGAGATACAGCAGTGCTGTTATTCCCATTGTACAGTTGGGGCACTGAGGCACACACAGACTAAAGGCCAGATTTCCAAAGGTATTTAGGCACCTAAAAGGTTCGGTGCTTTGTAAACCCCACTAGATGCCTAGCTACATCTTTGGATGCCTAAAAACCTTGGCAACTCTGTCCCTAAGACACTGACCTGAGCTCTACAGGAAGTCTGGTGTGGGGAGTAGAACCCAGGTCTCTCAGGGTTAGCTCCCTATCCACTGCACCAGCCTTTCTCTCTGTTTCATGCTGCAAAAAAGAGGCCTCTGACGGATGGGAGCAGAACCAAGAAAGCCAGTTCTCTGAGCCTCCCCCCACGGTCCCAGCTGATTGGAGAGGATGTCATGGTTGACAGTATCAAAAGCAGCACAGAGGTCAGGAAGGGTGAAGAGACCGAGAAGGAGAGTCAGAGGAGGGGTGGCAGGTGCTGCCCCAGGCTGGGCTGTGCAGCAATGGCTGCTGGGCAATTTTAGATTTTAACTGACAACCATTTTGTTTGGTCATTTTTTGTTCTGAGTTTGAGAAAAGGAAGGAATGAGAAACTGTCGTACGAGTATCCAGTATGATTATACATCACATTCTTAGGGGTTCAACTGTAGATCAATCTCTGATAATTTTCATGTGACTTTACATTGTGCCTCTTCATATAACCTTGTGGTGGGTCTACCTACGTGTGACCTCTGTTTTCATGGGACTTTGTATCAAAGCCTCATTTAGAAACTTTGCATTGCCCTTGGTAGAATATTATAGCCCCTAAGGATAGAATAAGATAGAAGAAAAATTTCTTTTTGCTAGCAGTAGAACAAGAGCTCTCCCCTCCCCCCTTAATCAATTGCCCTGTTGAATGAATGAGGTGTGGATGAGCAAGGCATGAAAGGCAGCACCTCCAGACAGCCTCAACTGTTGGAGAGGGGCTGGGAGCCAGACCCAAGGACAATAAAAGGTGTCAAGTGGGCTCATTAAAGACAAGCAGACATATGGACGGCCTCGGGGGTTAGAAGCAAGCACCTTCTTTTGGAAACACCCTCTTTGCAGCATTGGGACAACACTCAAAAGAAAGCAGCACAAAGGACCAATGGACATAGACACAGAGTTTGAATCTGGTAAAGATTTGAGTGAGAGAAAAGCAGCGAAGAAAAT